TTTGAGCCTTCCTCCCTTGCTTCTTCTCATGTCCAAGGCTGAATGTTCAGCAAAAATGGTTCTCAAACCACTTTAAGCTTTCTGCAGTCCATCTGATTTCCCACTTTTCTCCCATCAATATGCATTCTAACTAAAACTGTGCATATGGATATGAATTCTAAAGCACTTGTATGCAAACAAGCAGATGACTTAATTAAAACTACTTAATGAGATAATCTATAGTGCTCATTTGTACTCCTTTCTCAGGCACATTGCATTCTCATATCATATGTATGATACAAAAAAACTTCAGGAGAAATGAGAAATCTGAAATCAGAAGGCTAAAAATATTTTTCAAAGTGTTCATTGGCAATAACCCATTTGAATGCAGGGGTTCACTTTGAATGTAATTGAATTGTCCCAATACAAATACCCATAAAAATAATCTCTTCAGTTTTATAGGGAGACCTTATCAAGCAATAATCTCATATGCATTAAAATAAAAAATTCCATTAGAACCATATTTTATAGCTTAAAACACTATAAACTTTTGGGGGAAATTCATAAGTACTGATATATAATCCCTGGGAAATGATCTTAAGGATCATGAGGATACAATCTTGTATTAAATTCAAGAACCATCTTTTTTTTTTTTTTTTTTGGTACTGGGGATTGAACCCAGGGGTACTTAACCACTAAGCCACATCCCAGTCCTTAGCCATTTCTTATATTTTATTTAGAGACAAGGTCTCACTTAGTTGCTGAGTGCCTTGCTATTCTGCTAAGGCTGGCTTTGAACTTTATTTTATCTAGTTATTTAAATTAATTTTTGTGGGGGGATTGAAAGCTTTTAATAAATCCAGTGACAAACTTTCTTCTTCAAAATGTTGCTATCATTTCAGCTACTTATTAGTCATATTTGTAACAAAGTTTTCTTACATTGACCTAAAAGCTGTTGCTCTGCAACTGCCGGCTATTTTTCCTATCTCTAGTTTAATAACAACATAAAATGGCTCTCCTGACATTCTAAAGTACATCTCTTTATTAAACAAGGGTAGTTCTAACCTATATTATTTCTATGTTCTAATCTTTGGCCTTTTAGAATACCATCAATGATTAATGAAAAATGTCTGCCTTACTTTGACCTTTTGAATTCATTACAATATCCAATCTTCTAAACTTATCAATTAATTTTTTTAAAGTACTTTGTGCTAATGTTCTCAGACAAACAGGGGTTGGTTTTAAGTGGCCTTTGGATTTTATGGACCATTATCTCTATCAATCCTATTGCCTTCTCCTAGTTTCCAGAATAATGTCAGATTTGAACATGTGGGTCTTTTCTATCTTGCATGGAATATTTTTTAATGTGTTCTAAATTCCCCAAAACTGCAGAACTTAAAGTTCTCCTAAACAATAATAGCATAGCCATAGCACTTAGGAAAGACTGAAATCATTATTCTTAGAGCCTGTTATTGTGTTTATTTCATTTTTAAAATTAAAAAATTATTGATGCTTTATAATTGTATATAATTCTGGGATTCTTTATGTCATATTTGTGCATACACATAATTTAGTCAAACTCATTCCCCAGTACCTTCCCTTTCTCTCATCCCTCACTGATCCACCTACTCTCCTCTACTGAACTCTTCCCCTGCACTATTGTTAATTAGTATAATACATGACTCATTGTGGTATACTCCTACATGAACATAGCCTAATTTGGTAGATTTCATTCCCTAGTACTTTCCCATTCCCTGATCTCTTACTCCCTCTCCATCTATTTCTTCTATAGTGTTAGTCTTCCTTCTATTTTTTGTGAGATCCCCCTTGGGATTTTGATGGTATTCATTGCAGTTGGTCACTAATTTTAAAATGCTGCTTAACCACTGCAGGGATGTGACCCAGCAGGAAGCTGAGTGCGGCACTGCATGTAATATGGGCCAGTGGGGCAGAGGGGCTGTGGGGCCAGAGTGCGGTAGCCTCCCTAGTATCTCTAGCCCTCGCACTGGACCACAGCGACAAGACCATGTGGCCAAGCGTCTCTACAACTAAAAGTCAATGTCAGGGGACAGAACCAAATCCTATGAGCTTAACCAAGAGAAATTCCATGCTGATGACAACCTGAAGATCATCTGCCTGAGGCCCAATGCAGTGGGCAAGTCTAAACTCATGGAGAGATTCCTCATGAATGGATTTCAACTATAGCAGCTGTCCACATAAGCCCTGACCCTGCATAAACACAGGGCCACTTCGGACTGCAAGATCATCCTCATGGACTTTTTGCCAAGAACAGTTCCAAGGCATGCACACCTTCTACTACCATAAGGCCCATGCCTACATCATCGTGTTCAATATGCAGAGTAAAGTCACTTATAAAAACCTGAACTTCTGGTATACAGAGCTTGAGAAGTTCAGGCCGGAGATTCCATGCATTGTATGTCCAGCAAAACTGATATAGACATACATATGACCCTATAGCTATAAAGCTTCAATTTTGCCAGGAAGTTCTCCATGCCTCTGTACTTTGTCTCAGCAGCTGATGTTACCAATGTCCTGAAGCTCTTAAATGATGGAACTCAATTAGCTGTGTCTTACAAACAGAATTCCAGGACTTCATGGTCAAGGTTTTACAGGAGCCTGAGAGATTCAAGTTGGACATGAAAGAGGAGAATGCCCCTGACCTATATCAGTGTGGCAGGATACAGAGCCAAACCTCCTCCTGAACAGAAGGCTGCCTCCAATGGCTGACTTGAGAGTGTTGGGGGAGGGGGCTTTTGGAATGGCCTTCTAGCTCTGAAAGGAGAACCTCTCCAGGCCACCCCTGCTCAGCCTCCCCCAACACCTCCACCCCATGACACAGGATGAGGTAGCAAGGATCACACTCTGGACAGGTGTGAGGTCCCCAAAACCTGCTTATGACAGAATTATGGAATGGTGTCCTTCACACCTCCCATCCCCACCCCCAGCTAGGCAGTGGAAAGAACCAGGAAACACATTTGTGTGTCTATTCAGTAAATGGGCATTTAGGTGGTTGTTTTGGGGTTTGGAGGATTATTTTTTCTTCCCCAAACGGACTTCAGGGACTATTCCTTGCATTTCTTCTAGGAGAATGATTGCTAATCCCCGATTTCTCCCCTACCCCATTGCAGAATATGTAAGGCCTCTGTCTTTTTCCCCCTTTAGTCTCCTAGCTGGTTTTTTAAAAGATGTTTTTGAGCATGTAAAAATTTCAGGAGCTTTCTATGTCAGTCAAGATCACAGGAAGAAGTTGGTCATTAAAATTAAGTAAAAGCAGGTGACAAGTCTAACTGTACTTAGTCTTACAAATACACAGAACAAAGTAACAGCACTGTTCATAAAAAATGGGTCACAAAGCCTTGCCACAAGGACAACGATTTGGATTATAAGAAATCAGTTTTCAGAACTGCCCGCTTTCAGGCCTCTCTGTCAGCTCAGGGGTTTTGCTTTCTTTCTCTAGGACATGTGGAACACTGTACCTCCTGGGGGTGGTCAAGGGCTTTGAAGAAAGAGCTGTCTTGCCGCTTTTGTGCCCTGTCTGGTGTCTGGTTTGCCAATGTGCATTTATGATCATCTTGGGCATCAACTCATTGTGGTCCTTAATTTGTTTGGATTGTTTCTGTTTTTTTCAGTAAAGATTGAATTTTAAAAAATGCAGCTGAAGAATGTGTATTTGTTTCTCAATTCTGACTATTCTCACCCTAAAAATATATTCTGGGTTGTCAATCTGAAAAATATGGAGTCAACAGGTTTTATCATAAATCTACTAATTCTACAAAGAATCTTTTACCACAACAAACACAAACAAAAACTCCTAGTTTGTACCCAATCATCACCATCTACACTCCCAACCACAAAACAAAAATTTCTACCCAGGAATATTCATAATTCCCAGAACTATACTTGTTAGACAAGCAAGGACATCTTGGGGATAAAATAAATGATAGTGGTTATCAGTATAATCTCTGAGATGACTTTCCCAATGTTTAAGCCAAGAGGATAAAGACTAATTTCCATCTTATTACCAGAGGGATTCTTAGCATTCCCTTAGAGACCCTGGAGATGGTAATAGACCCAGTGTGGCCATGCTCACTCTCATACACCTCCTTTAAAGTCCTATATTAGTGGGGCTGTCCCTTCACTTTGGAATTTAAGAACTTTCTGCATTTATTTTTTGTTGTTTCTTCCTTTGTGTTGAGGGCCACAGACAAGTCAAGATGGCACCTGGCACTTTGCCAGGAGGAGTGGTTTGAGAAGTAACGCCAGCAAGCCATTAAGATGATGGAGATTCCTTAATGACTGACTGCTGTGTCTACATTATGTCAATTAAGTTAAGCTGTGTATAATTATTAAGATGATGAGGATTCCTTAATGACTGATTGCTGTAACTGGATGATGCTAAATTGAGTCAAGCTGTGTATTCAGTTATGTATAAATACCTCTGCTGTCCTACAATAAAGCGGCTCCCGCTGTATCAACCTTCACAAGTTGCTTGTCACACACACACCCCCTCCCCCCTTACCCCACCCCCCCGGTTATTTTGCCCAGCCAGACTGCTGCACCTTTGAAGCCTTCAGTGAAACTGAGACAACAACATAAAGATGGGAAAGAAGGGATGGGGATAATGGAGTGAGGGAAGAAGGGAGGGGGAGAGAGAGAGAGGAAGAGGAAGCAGTCCCATTTTGGCATTGCTATAAAGATGGAATCTGAGAGAATAATTTTCATGTTAATAAATTCTGACTCACTAGTTGACACTTACCATTTGAATTATCTGCTTAACATTAGTTTCTTTTATTTCCTGCTGTCTAATAACAGCATGCCATAAAATGGTGGCCTATGTTGAGAAAACAGCTAGAAAGTCGTTCCAAAAATGAAACTGCAAATAGATATTGATAAAATGCTACTTTACTATAAACCATGTGGATTATCACTTCATGCATGTATGTTTAATTTAATAATTCATTAAAAGAGAAAAGATACAAATTTTCTATTTCTGGTCCTAGGCCGAGATTATGAAAAGGATAAAGTCTGCCAGGAACTGGCTAGTCTGGGAAAAGATGACTTCAGATCTCTGTAAGTGTGCAGTATGCATTCAGTTCACCCTGGAGGCTTGGTCTAGAACAAAACTGAAGGAGAGTTGAAATGACCTCTGAGAAGACAAAGGACAGAGTCCTAGGCCAATGTAGGCAGGGATGTCAGGCAAATGGAAGAAATTCAAAGATCCCAGTTGAACTGTGGTTACTGTGATCTAAGAATTTGTCACCAGTAAGTTTATGAACGTGATTACAGTGAGTAGGTAAGCATAGTTTTCTAAGGGAAATCAAAATATATATTTATAACACTTTCTAGGACTCTGCAAACAGAGGCAAAAAGGAACAGAACAGGTTCTTTGGGGGGGGGTTCTCAAAGCATATAATATCAGGATGACTTAATGGAACTTCCAAGTCCAATTGCTACTGCTTACAAGATACATTTTCTTAGAACAAAAACCGCTTTTTAAAAAAATTAAATGTTATATTCTTTTCATTACCAAAATATAAAAGTAAACGTATAAAATATTCCATTTAAAAAACAAATATACAGACCTCATTTTAATATGTATCAAAATGCAAAAGAAAATTAAATGCTAACTATATATTGACTTACTATTTTCCTCAGGTCACTAGTCCTATATAGCAGAAAATTTTCCAGTGGCACATTTGAACAGGTCAGCCAGCTTGTGAAAGAAGTTGTCTCCTTGACCGAAGACTGTTGTGCAGAGGGGGCTGACCCTGACTGCTACGACACCAGGGTGAGCTTATGTGGCTGGCCCTCCCTACAGTGGCCCAGGGAAGGAAGCCATGGTGGGTCCCTCTGCCATGTCTTAGGGAAACTTCAGACAGCAAGTTTATCTACTCCTGGACTGGAGATGGTGGTGGAATATGAAGCCTACTATCTTTAGATCCCAGGTTTATTCTAGCAGAGTTAGTCCATTTTACTCATTCCTACATGGTCCAAATGAGAAAACTGGGCTAAAGTAACTTAGGGGCTTACTAAATATAACTGTTGGTGAGAAGTAGTTAAAGAATATGAATTCAGATCTTACACTAAAGCCAGTTTTTTAAATAATTATAAATTTGCACCTTACAAATATCAACTCATGAATCTCTTAAAATAATTTTAGTACATGCTATGCAGCTTAAAAGCCTGCCTATACCTTTATCATCATGTAAGCACTGGTACCACATGCCACAGAATACTTTCATGATGGCCTCAAATGATAGGGGGGTTCAAAAATTGCATACATACACTTGGCTACAAGTTAACTTTCTCTATAGTATATATGCAGAAATTAAACTTCTGAAATGACAGAGTACAAACTATAAACAATTGAAAAATGTGAAACCTGGGTAGTTTTAGCAAGTTACTAATAGAGTAATCAGGCCCAATGCAAATTACATTTAGAGGCATTTTGATAAAGGCCTCCACAGACACATTAGTCTCTCTGCTAAGACCTATTAGCCTGCAGAAACAGTGTTCAAAGATCTGATTGGAACAGATTCTGTACAATGAATATTCTTACTCACAGATTGCTTTATCTGGCTATTTACTTTCTCTGAATTCTACAATAATTTTCTTCCACCACCAAGCTCGTAAATAACTGTCACTTCAACCTCACCTCTGTATCACCTCAAACTAAACAAGCATCAAACTGTCAACCATGGTCAAAACATCACAGCATATTTTAAATTTTATTTCATCTATTTGCTAATGCATCCAAAGTTGTGACCTGTCTCTATAGTCCTGGAGCTTAAGAAAACAAGGGTTGGTATATTTTTTTGCATGACACCTTCCTTCCTCCTGCTTATTCAAGATATTTAGAAAAGTGAGGGAGGGGGGGAGTGTTGATATGTTTACATTCTAATTTTATTTGAAAGGGAATAATTTTTAAAAGGCAAAAGAGAAAAATTGCCAAGAAAATAAATAGAAAGGAAAAGTAAATGATCTAATAGGAGATATAAGATTTAAAGAGAACCTGATTCCTAAGTTCTGAGAGGCTGATAAGGTAGGTATGGATGAGGATGAAGAGTTGGTTAACAAAACTCATTCATCACATCGCTCTTCTTCACTGATAGGAAAGGTCTTTAGAAGTTTTACCTTAAAAAGATGAGCAACATATAAAATAATTATAATAATATCAAATTATTTTCCCACATAAGTAATTTTTCCATAAAACTATTTCTAATTCTTTTTTCTATGATGTCTATCACTTTTCTATCATTTTAAGTATCAAATTATTTCTTAAAAGAACATGTTCTGTTGTTACAATTGCTTTGATGGTGCTTCAAGCATCAGTTTGGCCATGTTGAGGCAATTACAGAGCTCCCAGAGGCTCTTAACCCATGCTGCACTTGAGAACAAATCTTGAAACTTTGAGAAAACCAGATTTTCAAGTCCTATCTTTGACCTACTGAATCAGAATTTCTGGGTTGTGTAAGCCAGGCATTTCTGACTTTTTCATACCCTACAAATAATTCTGATGCAGAAGCATGCTCCAGAACCATTAGATAAAATATAAACCAACACAGAACTCTAAAGCAGTCAAGTGTCAAGAGTCTGTTCATGTAATAAAGGAATGGAAGGGGGCAGGGGAAAGTCTTCATTTTTAGGGGCGTAACCGCAACAGAATACATATGGAGAATCATCAATGGAACTTTTCCAGAATCATCAGTGGAACTTTTCCAAATGACCCTCTCCTCCTCATAGATGTTAAAATCCCCATGGAGGAACACTGGGCCAAAGGATAAAATTCTAATGACTGCAGTAGAACATATGTCCATTTGTTAATGAAGGTTCTGCTTTTTATTCTACTCTGAGGAGACTCACTTATTAACATAAATAAGACCCTATACTTCCCTCAAACTATATCTGTGCAACTTTTCATGGTTTGAAATCATCTCTGGAGTTTTTGTATGAACACTTGATTACTGATGACAATTTTTAAATAATAGACTAAGATATCATACTGAATGGAGAACTACAAGCCTGAAGGTTGCACATATTGTATAAGTTTCTCTTTTTTACTTCTCTCTTTGCAGACCTCAGCACTATCTGCCAAGTCCTGTGAAAGTGACTCTCCATTCCCAGTACACCCAGGAACTCCTGAATGCTGTACCAAAGAGGGGCTTGAACGGAAGCTCTGTATGGCTGCCCTGAAACACCAGCCACAAGAATTTCCTACCTATGTGGAGCCAACAAATGATGAAATCTGTGAAGCATTCAGAAAAGATCCAAAGGGATTTGCTGACCAGTAAGTTGTTTTCATTATAAAAAGAACTTTGGGTCATAAAAACATCTGAAATGAATTGAATCTAACCAGCTACTCTATGCAAAAACACCTCTTCTAGGAACCCAGACAACTACCAATGATGGAAACTTGACTCTCACCCAAGACAGCTCATCTCCTTGTCAGTGCTGACTATTGTTTATGTCTGTCCCAGACAGAGATGAAATCAACTCTCTCAAACTCCCACCCACAAACCCTAGGTTCTATTATCTGAAGCAGAATCCTTTGGATCCCCTATCCAAACATGACATATTTTCCAATATTTCACAGCCCCTATTGTGGCTGCCCTTATGCTAGAGGTAATCCATAAAATCAAAGCAGCTTGATTGCTATGTCCTTTCTAGATACTTTCCAAGAAAGCATATGAGAGGAACAGCTTTATTTCCCCCTCACTCCTATACATTTCCAGAAACAGCTCACAATAGCAATTACGGAATACAAGTGGCAGGAAGATTTCTGAGGTTGGTTTATACTGATGTCATAGAGAGAATGAGAGCTCCCAGTGTCCCTTTCAAGTATCATGCTCAAATTCTTTATTTAAAGCTCCCCAGGTCCTATGTTCCTAATACCAATTATGTTGATCATGTGGCCCTTTAAAAAAGCTTTTAACAACAGTGATAAAATGAAAGGTTCCTGGTTTGTACTGAATTTATACAAAGGGCATTGGGAACATGACACATGCACTACAAAAGTAAACATGTGACTTTGACCCTCTCATTGCTTAACATTCATGAGGAGCCAAATTATACTCTGATTATATTAGTTTTAGAAGGTCATAAAAAATGTACAAAAAAACTACAAAAGGCAATTTATGGAAATGGAAAAATAATATATTGCACAAAAGTAATGTCATTCAAATTGGTAATAATTTTATAGCAACTTGCTTGTCCATTCCTATAAATTTTCAAAAAGGATTTTGCCTAAGACTTCAGTTTCTTTTTAATCCATGGATTTGTGCTCCTTAAAATTGAAATGATTTCTCTCAACAATTAAGTATGCTTATACATACCAGTTGTCCAGAATAATAAACTGAGGTGAATAAGAATAAATTTGAGTAAACCAGCTAAGTACATTCATTGTAATTAATTCAATAAATAGCTTAATAAACACCTAATATGGATGGGTGATGCACTTGGCTAGACACTAAGTGAACAAACAGACAAACAGCTCTTTGCTTCAAGCAGATCTCATAGGAATTCAGACAACTAGTTTTTTAAAAATATATATTTATTAAAAGACTAGTATTATACTTGTTTCTCTAGGTCCTTTGTGCTTTTTAAACAAACTAAAATCTGATATAACACACATCCTTCTCCATCAACATACATATGAGAAATCAGGTTTTGTTTTCCTACAAATTTTTTGACCAATCCTATTTTTCTCACACAGGTTTTTGTATGAATATTCCAGTAATTATGGACAAGCTCCTCTGCCACTTTTAATTGGTCACACCAAGAGTTATCTCTCTATGGTAGGAACCTGCTGTACCTCCGCAAGCCCAACTGTATGCTTTTTGAAAGAGGTAGGTTCTGTTTTGCTTATTACATAGTCATGTGCTATTTTTCTTCTTGTAATGACGTTCTTTTAAATAATGGTAGATGTTGAGGTTTTGCACTTATTAAGAGTTCTCAGATGTCTTCTTCACATGCAGTTAATTGGAAAATAAATATGCCACCTCAGGAAAGGAGATATCACTGTTACTTTTGTCAGATTTCAGCTTTCTAGTCATCAAAAAATCATAAAATTAACATCTCTGTTTTTGCTATTTGTGCACACTGTTTTCAATGGATCCTAATCATCTGATGAGATTTTGTCACTTTTTTTCTAGAGACTTCATATGAGACAGTTCTCTCTTCTTACCAGTATGTCAAATAGAGTCTGTTCACAATATGCTGCTTATGGCAAGGAGAAATCAAGGCTCAGGTAAAGATTAAGTATCATCATCACATTTAGTACATTACTTCTGCACTATCCCTAATGTTAGAATTCTCCCAGATGTTGGTGAAATATAGAAACTAGACTACCACAGAACTATGAACATATTCAGTGATCTCCAGTATTTCCTTTAGTTTTCCTTTTACATTGAGATAGTGAGTTTGGCATGTAGAACACACATCCTCCATCAACATACATATGAGAATCAGGTTTTGTTTTCCTACAAATTTTTTGACCAATCCTATTTTTCTCCCATAGGTTTTTGTATGAATATTCCAGTATATAAGTATTCCAGTATATAATATAAAATCACCAAATAGACATTACTTTATTTACCTTTACTTTATACATGCATCAGTGTCTAGGAATTTACTCCAAAGAAGTAACAGTCTAAACAAAGATTAAGCTATAAAATATTACTGCCATATTTTAATAAGAAAAATATTAGTGAATTCATAAATGTCCCTAGAATAAAAAATGTTTGAATTAACTTTGTCAAAATTATATTGTAAAAATTATTTTATGAAAAGTACCAAATGATTGTCAAAGAAATCAAAGAAGATACAATAAATTGAAAGAAATTCCACATTTGTGGTTTGGAAGTTTTAATACTATTAAAATGCCCATAGTACTCAAAGCAATCTGTCTCTACATTATAATGAAATTGTTTTTTGCAGAAATAGAAAAAAAAAATTAGTTAACTCCCCATTATAATAATAAATACTTGGAATAACTAACTTATAAAGAGAAAAGTCTTATTTTAGCCAACAATTTTAGAGGTCACATTCCATGATCATTTGGACCCATTACTTTGGTTCTGTACTAACATATCATGGTAGGAGTATGTAGCACAGTAAATTGCTCACTTCAGAGCCAGAAGACAAAAGAGAAATGGTTGGTTGGGGTTCCACTACCCCCTGGAGAGCATATTCCCAATGACCTAAAGATCTCCCACTGAACCCCACCTCTTAAGGGTTCCACCACCTCCAGTTACCACAACCCTGGGGTCAAGCATTTAACCCATGGGCCTTTGCGGGACATTCAAGTTACAAACCACAGCACCATCCTAAAATTAATAGGAAATCTTCAAGGGATCTTAAGAGACTCCAAATAGTCAAAACAATCTTGAAAAAGAACAAAGTTGGAAACTTAAAATTTCCTGATTTCACTAGGCATGGTGGCACACGCCTGTAATCCCAGAAACTCAGGATGCTGTGGCAGGAAGATCCCAAGTTCAAAGTCAGTCTCAGTAACTTAGCAAGACCCTGTATTAAAATAAAAAATGGAAAAGGTGGGCTATGAATGTGGCTCAATGGTTAAGCACCCCTCAGTTCAATCCCTGGTACCAACAACAACTACAACAAAATACTTCCTTATTTCAAAACCCACTACAAAGCAACAAAAATCAAGATGGTGTGGTACTAGCCTTAAAACAGATATATAGACCAGTGGGACAAAACAGAAAACCTGAAAATATATTCTTTTCTTTCATATATGGCCAAATGATTTTCAATAAAGGTCCCAAGACTACACAATAAAGAAAAGGGTTTCTTCAATGAATAGTGTTGAAAAAACTGGATATTCATGTGCAAAAGAAAGAAGTTGTATTCTGACCTTATATACAAATACAAAAATGAATTAAAGATCTAAATGTAAAAACTAAAACTATAAAACTCCTGGAAGAAAATAAAATGGAAATTTTCAGGGTATGAGATTTGGCAATGATTCCTTGGATATGACACCAATACATGGACAAGAAAAGCAAAAATAAATAAATGGACTATACCAAATCTTAAAATTTCTGTTCAAAGGACATAACGAACAGAGTGAAATGGCAACCTACAAAATGAGAGAAAATATTTGCAAGTCACATCTTATATTATGAATATTCAGCATGCATAAGAAAATACTATACCATACCAACACAAAACAATTAAACATGAGTAAACAATTCTCCAAAGCAAAATATAAAAATGGTCAACAGTATATGAAAAGATGCTAAGCATCATTCATTATAAGAGAATTACAAATCAAAACCACAATGAGATATTGTCTATACCCATTAAGATTGTTACAATCAAAAAAACAGAAAATAGAAAATGTTAGAGAGGGTGCAGAGAAGTCAGAATACTCCTGCATTGTTGATGGGAATTTAAAATGGTACATCCAAGAAAGAAAATGGAGTGGAAATTCCTTAAAACTTAAAAATAGAATTACCATATGATCTACAAATTCTGGTGGAAGTTATATATTAATTTAAAAGAATTCCAGGAAAGATCTCTAAATGCTATTTGCACACCCACATTCATTGCAGCTTTATTTACAATAGCCAAGAGGTGAAAACAAACAAAATGTGCATTGACAGATGACTTGCTAAAGAAAATGTTAAATAACACATACAATGGAATATTATAGTCTTTTAAAAGTCCTATCACATGCTACAACATGGATAAATATTGAGAACATAATGCTAAGTGAAATAAGCCAGTCACTAAAAGACAGATACTATACAATTTCACTAATAAGAACTATATAAAGTAGTTAAAATCATACAAAATAAAGAAAGGTAATTGCCAGGGACTAGGACCAGTGAGAGATGAAACAGTGTTTAATGGATATAAAGTTTCAGTTTTTCAAGGTTAAGGTGTAAAGATACAGTGCAATGCAATGTGAATATGATTAACACTACTTAAATATAAAAATGATTAGGATGCTAAATTTAATGTTGCATTTCATCACAATTCTAAAAAAGAATTCTTAATGATATCCTTGTCTATGAAGAATATTTTTTTTCTTAAACATCCAACCCCCCATAATACCACTTCACTCCTAAATGTTTTGGTGTGTATTTCCCTGTTTCCTAATAATAAGGAAATACACTTACTTAACCACCTAACACAATTGCCAAAATCAGGAATGTTGACTTCTATATGATATAATATTATCTCATCTATGAATTTTACTCAGATTTTACCACCTGACTCAATGATCCAATATGTTTCTCCTCCTTAGTTCAAAATCCAATTCAGGATCACTAATACTACTTTTCAGTCTCTATTAATCCAGAATAGTTCCTCAGATTTTACTTACTCATTTTTTTTCATGATTATGACATTTTTAAGAGTAGAGACCATTTGTTTTATGGACTATCTCTCAATTTAGGTTCGAAATTTCAGTGTTCCTTAAAGATTAAATTCAAGTGATGTTGTTAACAGGAATACTAAATAAGTGATGTATGTCCTTAGCACATCAAATTATGAAGCACACAATGTCATTTAATGGGTGCTTTTAACTGTAATAATTTTTATTAAATTATTTATTCTAATTTGTTATACATGATGACAGAATGCAATTCATTTCATATTACACACACAGAGCATAATTTCTCAAGTCACTGGTTGTACACAAAGTATTTTCACACCATTCATTTCTTCATACATGTACTTTGGGTAATGATGTCTAACTCATTCCCCCATCATTCCTACTGCCTTACCCTCTCCTTTCCCTTCCCTCCTTCCCCTTTGCCCTATCTAAAGTTCCTCCACTCCTCCCAAGCTCCCCCACCATCAACATTATGAGTCAGCATTCTCATCAAACATTTGTTCTTTGGTTTTTTGGGATTGGCTTGCTTCACTTAAGATTATATTCTCCAACTCCATCCATTTACCTGAAAATACCATGATTTTATTCTCTTTTAATGCTGAGTAATGTTCCATTGTGTGTATATATACACCAAAGTTTCCCTATACATTCATCTACTGAAGGGCATCTAAGTTGGTTCCATAATTTAGCTATTGTGATTGTGCTGCTATAAACATTAATATGGCTGTGTCCCTATAGTATACTGTTTTTAAATCTTTTGGTTATGAACCGAGGAGTGGGATAGCTGGGTCAAATGATGGTTCCATTCCAAGTTTTCCAAGGAATCTCCATACTGCTTTCTATATTGGCTGCACCAATTTGCAGTCCCACCAGCAATGTATAATGTGCCTTTTTCCCCACATCCTTGCCAACACTTATTGTTGTTTGTGTTCTTAATGGCTGCCATTCTGACTAGAGTGTGATAAAATCTTCGTTTTGATTTGCGTTTCTCTAATTGCTAGAGATGTTGAACATTTTTTCATGTTTGTTGATTGATTGTATATCTTGTTCTTAGAAGTATCTGTTCAGTTCCTTGGCCCATTTATTGTTTGGGTTATTTCTTTTTCTAGTGTTAAGGTTTTTGAGTGCTTTATATACTCTAGAGATTAGTGCTCTATCTGATGTGCTTGTGGTAAAGATTTGCTCCCATTCTGTAGGCTCTGTGTTCACCTCACTGATATTTATTTTGCTGAGAAGAAGCTTTTCAGTTTGAATCCATCCCATTTATTGATTCTTGGCTTTAATTCTTATGCTATAGGAGTCTTATTAAGAAAATTGGGGCCTAATCTGACATGATGGAGATTTGGGCCTACTTTTTCTTCCATTAGGCGCAAGGTCTCTGGCTTAATTCCTAGGTCCTTGATCCACTTTGAATTGAGTTTTGTGTGTAGTGAGAGATAAGGTTTAATTTCATTTTGTTACATGTGGATTTACAGTCTTTCCAACACCATTTGTTGAAGAGACTATCTTTTCTCCAATGTATGTTTTTGGCACCTTTGTCTAATATAAGATAACTGTAGTTATGTGGATTAGACTCTGTCCTGTATTCTGAACCATTGGTCTATAAGTCTATTTTGGTGCCAATATCATGCTGATTTTGTTACTTTTGCTCTGTACTATAGTTTAAGGTCTGATATAATGATACCACCTGCTTCACTCTTCTTGCTAAGGATTGCTTTGGCTATTCTGGTTCTCTTATTTTTCCAGATGAATTTCATGATTGCTTTTCCTATTTCTATAAGGAATGTCATTGGGATTTTGATTGTAATAACATTGAATCTGTATAGTGCTTTTGGTAGTATGGTCATTTTGACAATATTAATTCTGCCTATCCAAGAACAAGATAGATTTTTCCATCTTCTAAGATCTTCTTTAATTTCTTTAACGTGTTGTAGTTTTCATTGTAGAGGTCTTTCACATCTTTTGTTAAGTTTATTCCCAAGTTTTTTGTTGTTGTTGTTTTTTGAGGGGGGGGTCTCCTAGTTTCTCTTTCAGCAGATTTGTCACGATGTACAGAAATGCCTTTGATTTATGGGTGTTGATTTTATATCCAGCTATTGTGCTGAATTCATTAGTTAGTTCTAGGAGATTTCTGGTGGAATGTTTTGGGTCTTCTAGGTATAGAATCATATCATCTGCAAATAGTGATAATTTCATTTCTTCTTTCCCTGTCTGTATCCTTTTAATTTCTGTTGGCTGTCTGATTGCTCTTGCTAGAGTTTTAAGAACTATGTTAATTAGAAGTGGTAACAGAGGGCATCCCTGTCTCGTTCCAGTTTTTAGAGAGAAAGCTTTCAATTTTTCTCCATTTAGAATGATGTTGGCGTGGGGCTTAGCATAGATAGCTTTTACAATGTTGAGGTATGTTCCTGTTATCCCTAGTTTTTCTAGCTTTTTGGAACATAAAGGGATGCTGTATTTTATCAAATGCTTCCTCAGCATCTATTGAGATGATCATATGATTTTTACCTTTGAGTCTATTGACATGATGAATTACATTTATTGATTTCTGTATGTTGAACCAAACTTGCATTCCTGGGATGAACCCCACTTGATCATGATGCACTCTCTTTTTGAAATGTTCTTGTATTTAATTTGTCAGAATTGTATTGAGAACTTTTGCATCTATGTTCATTAGAGATATTGGTCTGAAGTTTTCTTTCTTTGATGTGTCTTTGGAATCAGGGTGATATTGACCTCATAGAATGTGTTTGGAAGTGTTCTCTCTTTTTTTTTAGTTTATAAAATAGTTTGAGAAGTATTAGTATTAGTTCTTCTTTAAAGGTATAGTAGAACTTAGCTTTGTATCCACCCAGTCCTGGGCTTTTCTTGGTTGGTAGGCTTTTGAAGGAGACCTCTATTTCCTTGCTTGAAATCGATCTCTTTAAATTGTGTACATTATCCTGGTTTGGTTGGGGCATATCATATGCCTCTAGAAATTTGTCAATGCCTTCAGTGTTTTCTAATTTATTGGAGTACAAATTTTCAAAATAATTTATAATTATATTCTGTATTTCTTTAGTGTCTGTAGTAATATTTCCTTTTTTCGTCACGGATGTTAGTAATTTGAGTTTTCTCTCATTCTCTTCATTGGCATAGCTAATGGTTTATCAATTTTATTTAGTTTTTCAAAGAACCAACTTTTTGTTTTTTCAATTTTTTCAATTGTTTCTTTTGTTTCAATTTCATTGATTTCAGCTCTGATTTAAATTATTTCCTGTCTCCTACTGCTTTGGGGGTTGATTTGTTCTTCTCTTTCTAGGGCTTTGAGATACGATTTTAGGTCATTTATTTGTAGACTTTTTCTTTTTTGAAGGAATGAACTCCATGCAATGAACTTTTCTCTTAGAATTGCCTCCATGGTATCCCAGAGATTTCGATATTTTGTATCGGTGTTCTCATTTAACTCTAAGAATTTTTTAATCTCCTCCTTGATATCTTTTGCAACCCATTATTCATTTATTTAGTCTCCAGGTGTTGGAGTAGCTTTTATTTTTTATTTTATTATGATATTCCTGATATGGAAGTGAAAAAATCAAATATGAAAAGAGCATAGCATAATCCCATTCATACCCTTATAAAATGCTTAAGCACTGCACACCCCAAATATCAACATTTATTTACTCCTTAGTAAAGGGCCAAAGGTCTTTCTTTATTTCTTTTACCTACTATTTCTAAGTAAATTTATAAAACTTTTTGTAAATACTAAGAGGCTATAAAAACACAACATTGGCCTCATGAATAAAAAGATGTGCTTTCTTTACTGCCATTTTAGATCCAGCATCTTAAAGCCATGCTTCTATTGTGTAGATTGGACCAGAAGAGAAGCTTCATTTGAGCATTGAAAATCTGAAAAGACTCATGTGGGATAGTTTAATTTTGAGTTTGCAGCTTTGATATGTAGGCTCTAGCATGTACAGATGTGCTCCGTGCATCTGTTGAAATCAAAGAGTTGAAAGTACATTATTCCTCTAGGAAGTATGTACATAATGAAACCAAGAAAACTGAGGACATGTTCAACTAACAGATTCATTTTCAACTATTTAGTCATCTCATCAAATTAGCCCAGAAAGTGCCTACTGCTGATCTGGAGGATGTTTTGCCACTAGCTGAAGATATTACTAGAATCCTCTCCAAATGTTGTGAGTCTACTTCTGAGGATTGCATGGCCAAAGAGGTAAGGCAATCCCCATTATCTCCATCATGTGCCTAGCAGGGAGTGCTGTGCTCTCCCTGGAAGATTTTTTAAGCTGCTTTTCATGTGTGTTATTTTAATGGATCTTCACATGTATCCTATGTGATATCAATATATTCTTCAGTTTATTTTACAGATGAGAAAACAAGATTAACAAGGGGCAAAAATTTGAGATCATGCAACTAATATGTGACAAATTCAACATGCAAGGACATGGGACCTCAATCCCAAACCCTTTATCTGAAGTGTACAGTACAGTAACAATTAGCTTCATAGGGACACTGTATAACTTTAATTTTAACAAAAATTAAATGTATGTAAATTGAACATAATTTAAAATTCAGTTCTTCAGTCACACAGCCACATTTCAATTGCACAACAGTATAAAACAGAGCAGTTACAGATAAATGTCATTATTACATAAAATCCTATTAGTGCTGTAATCATTATACTATTAGAGACTATTGATGTTGTTATTAACACTTTTCATAACTTGATGGGCATTTCAAATTTTTTCACCACTTTCAAGTTCCATAATTGTCCTGAGCATATATAAACTGGAATAATTGCTTTATGTGAAGTTCAGTGTTTTAATCAGCTTTTTCACTGCTGTGACTAAAGGATCAACCAGCACAACTGTAAGGGTGGAATAGTTTATTTGAGAGCTCATGGTTTCAAAGGTCTTAGTCCAGAGAAGGCTGGCTCCATTCCTTGGGGCGCGAGGTGAGGCAGAACATCATGGCGGAAGAGTGCGGCCGAGGAAAGTAGCTCACAATGTGGTGATCATGAAATAGAGAGACTCCAGCTCCAGATACAAAATATATACCCCATAGCCACACCCCCCAATTAACCACTTCCTCCAGCCACACCCCACCTGCCTCTAGTCACCACCCAGTTAATCCCACCAGGGATTAATTCACTGATTTGGTTAAGACTCTCACAATCCAATAATTTCTCCTTTGAACCCTCTTGCATTATCTCATATGTGAGCTTTTGGGGAACACTTCACATCCAAACCACAACAGTCAGTCTCCAAGATCTTGTTAACCTCTTCAGCAATAGATGCAATGTGTTGTCTTTTTCCATCAAAATGCATGATTGTTATTAGATGTTTTCTATAATGACATATAATGGCTATGTAGGACTCTATTACATATATTTATTATATGTATTACATCTATCTCCCCAGACATACCATATTTCAATTTAACTAATTCTCTATTATTGTATTTAAGCTGTGTTTGTTTCCAATATTTTAAGTAGAGCTGTATTATATAGCCTTATTTTAAGTCTTCCCTATATCCATAATTATTTTCTAAGTATGAATTCTTAGAGATGAAGTTGTACAATTTTAAATCTTTTAGTATATATATATAGATAAATTGCCTCCCCATGTGTTGTACCAATTTACTTTCCAAGAGTATCACACTTACTTTCCTGAACATGAGGCCAGGACTTGTAAGCCTAAGCCTTATTTGTCATAAGACCAACAAAGAAGCTAACAATGCACAAACTCACCATTCCTTTTGTAGCTGCCTGAACACACAGTAAAAATATGTGACAACTTATCCACAAAGAATTCTAAGTTTGAAGATTGTTGTCAAGAAAAAACACCTATGGACATTTTTATGTGCACTTACTTCATGCCAGCTGCCCAACCACCCCAACTGCCAGATGTCCAGTTCCCCACAAATAAAGATGTGTGTGATGCAAAAAACACCAAAGCCATGGATCAGTAAGTAGAGGTGATGTGAAATGTCTTTCTGTATCAACTTCTCCTGGACAAAATTTCACTGTGGCCAGATTGAGGGAAGGTATGCTATCACTCATTCAAACGCAGGCAGTTTTTTATGCTTTTTATGGACTTCAAGTATTTATTAATTGACTTTAAATGACTCAGAATTGTAAAACTGTATTTTAACAAAGAACAATTGAATTTAATAAAAAGAGTTTGGATGTGGCAAACGGAAGTTAGCATTCCTAATTCTGCCTCTTCTGATTATCATGCACTGTCAAAAGACCTTTCTGAATCAAAGTCTCTTCTTAATTTGAGAATGGTAATACTTTCTTACTACTGCACAGATTACTACTAAGAAATTCATCTAGAAAGATTAGTAAGTATGAAAACTTTTTATATGATTAAATATATACACAAAAAATATGGCAGTGTAAATGTTTATATAATTATTAGCTAATTTTATCACATGGCATTTAAGTCAAAGTCACAGATCCGAAGTCTAAAGTTTATCCAACTTTTGGAGAATGATTACAATATAAATAAACAAACAAATATAGAATCATGTTTTTCCCTAAAAGTATTGATATTCACTACCAACAAAAGAAAAACGAGATTAAATGAAAAGAAATGGTGCACCTTGGCAGACGTAGTGGCACAGGCCGATAATCCCATGGCTCAGGAGGCTGAGGCAGGAGGATCACAAGTTCAAAGCCAGCCTCAGCAATTCAGCAAGGTGCTAAGCAACTCAGCGAGACCCTATCTCTAAATAAAATATAAAAAAGTACTGGGGACGTGGCTTGGGGGGTAAGTGACCCTGAGCTCAATCCCCAGTACCAAAAAGAAAAGAAAAGAAAAGGTGGACCTTTATCTTGTTTTATCTAACAAAGGAACTAAGGTAAACATACCATGAGTTGCATATGTTATGAATACATGCCTACTAATTGCATGAAACTATTTTGCAAATATCTTGAAAAGTCCCCATATCAGACAACAGATTTTAGATAGGACCAAAACTTTAATTTACAATTTTCTTATAAATACTGATGTTTTCATCAGTGTGTAGGCAGCAGTGGAATAAGATATACTGGAAGAATTTATACAGACTATTTTTACAGAAAAGCTGCTTAACTGCCTTGATGTTACTGATAGGGTCAATCCCATTACTTATACAAAATTCCATATGTTTTACATATACTATATAAATACATATTACATGTTTCAAAGTATTATAACATGTTTTCATGAATATATTTGAATACTTGCTTTGAATTTATTACATGTATTAATAACTCACATTTTAATAAAAACACTGTACAACCCGAAACCTGTTGCTGTGGAGTTAGTTTGGGAAAAATCTTTTATAATTAAGATGCAGAAACCAGGTACTCTGCCTTTATGATAGCTATGTCCTATTCAAAACAAGAACACATCCACACATATCCATGTACATCTTAAAAAGTATCATCTTTCTCTCTCACACCAGGTATGCATTTGAACTAAGTAGAAGGACTCACATTCCAGAAGTATTCCTCAGCAAAATACTCACACTAACCCTGAAAACCCTTAGTGAATGCTGTGACTCTCAAAATCCTGCTGCTTGTTTTGTTACTAAGGTATGATTTTCTGGGTTTTCTTAATCAACCATGTACATCAAGAGTTGGCAAACTTCAACCCCTGGGCCAAACCTGGCCCACTGCCTACCTTTCTATAGCTTATAAGCTAAAAATGGAAAAATGGTTCTACATTTTTTAATTGCTTGGGAGAAAATATTAATATTTCATGATGCATAAAAATTGAAATTCAAATGTCAGTGTTTAACATAAATTTTAATTGGAATACAACCATCCTCATTATTTACATATTGTTTATGACTGCTTTGTAGAGAGCAGAGTAGTTATAAATCCATAAATGGCCTGCAAAGCCTAAAATATTTACAATCTGGCTTTACACTGAAAATATTTGCTGATTTCTGGCACAGACAGGAGACAGAATTTTGGTATAACGACCTTATGGGGCAGTGTGTCAAGATAACTTTTTCATGCGAATATTGCTTATCTTACAGGGTTCTCTAATGAAAAGGAAACAATCTCTTTTCCTCGACAAGGGACAAGAATTGTGTGCAGATTATTCAGAAAACACATTCACTGAGTACAAGAAAAAGTAAGTGATTTGTTCTGGCTGTGTTCACCAAATGTTTCAATAATACTTTTCTAATATTGCAATTTGAAAGCAAAATTGAAAACTCAGAATGTGTTAAGTGAACAGTAAAACACAAAGGTAAAATTGTTTTAAAAAGGAATTAGAATCTAATATTTGTATAAGAAGCAGACGAGTTATTTTCTGGGAGGAAAATATCATATTATCAATTGAGTGACCAATTAAAACATAGACACAAAAATATAAATTATAAAATCTATCTGCAAGAACTTGGGTCAAAATGGCAACATTAGCACATTCTTGCCAGAGCTGTCTGTAGATATTGCTGTTCATATTGAGGAACTATAGAACTATTGAAAAGTACTATATAACTTCACCACATATTGCCTGACAAGACGATCCTAGCAATCAATCTTCCATTATTAGCATATGTTCCCTATAAACTGGAAATACAAATGCTAATTATCAATAATGTTCAAGCACTTTTTCTCAGTTAAGGGGAGTAAAAGGAATTTTTAAAATAAATAGGCATTAGCACTAAATAATGAAAGAAGTGGTACCGATTTCTTGGGGGAAATTTTCCATTTAGAAGACCTTCTCAGTTTTATGTAGTGAATTTCTCACACCCATTTCAAATCATTTTGATCAGCCCAGGCTTCAAATAAGTACAAACAGAACTCCCAAAGAATCACAAAAGCCATCTCCATCAGTGACCCCCATGAAGTCTACTTTAGCAAAGTTCAAGAAATAAATGAAAATCAATGAAAGCCTCAAGTTTAAAGTGGTTATTTCTCATTTATCAGAAAATTATTTAATTGTATAACCTAAAAGAATATTTCAGAGGCAGTTGGATGTTGAACAGATAACTCTAACTTTCTCTGCAAACAGTTACGAATTCCAGGAATGCAAGGAGGTAATTGAGTAATCATTGTTTACATAGTCATGATTCCAGATAAACATGTAGCAGAATTGACATCTAGGATTATGAAATCAGAGAATACAGAGACAGCTGGGTTTTGATATTTGAAGTCCCCTCCCCCAAATCCAGGCTGAGCTATCCATTATGAGGGTGGAGAGGCTCCAAGACCACAGATTGACCAAACTGAAAGAATCCAGAGCTATGAAGTCCTATCTCCATCTTAAAAGTGAGATGGAAGCTTCATTAATCAAACAGCTAAAAACAAGGGCTAAAGTGCTTGATTCACATCAGTGAGCTTAGTGTGTTGAGACATAGACAAACTGAGGGGTGAAATATGAGAGAAAAGAAAAGGCATAAAGGTAGTGTCAAGTTGTGTAAGGAAATATTCTTTAAGAGCTTGAATCAACTGGAGAGAAGGTAAAATATCAGAGAACATACAAAAGGAAGTCATTTGTGTTGAAATAATGAGCAAATAAATGTGGAAAGATTGGCATTTAAACTAAGCAACAGTTTTTATGTTTCATGATCTTGAAAGAGGTATAGATTTCACTTTCTAATTTCAAATTGACACACTTAAAATCATTCCACATACATAGAATTTTCTTGAGACAGACAAGTATTTTTCTTTTTTATTGTATAAGATTTGAAATGACTATCATTTTGCATTAGAAACGTTTACAAAATATATCTAATAAAACCTTGCATAATAAAAATGGTCTTTTAGACTAGAAGAGCGACTAAGAGCAAAAATGCCTAACCCCACACCCGTGGAGCTGACAGGGGTGGTTGACAAGCTTTCAGACTTTGCCTCCAAGTGCTGTTCCATAAATTCACCTCCCCTCTACTGTGGCTCACAGGTAAGAGAACACAGCCCTCGTTTACCACTGCAGAGTATGTGAAGAACTTGAGCCCTCAGATTTATTCAGTATTTTGTTAGTAAAATGTCATCATATGACAGGCTTTTCCTGGTGCTATATTTAAACTTTGTTGTCTTAGTGAGGAACTAGGAAAAATGACTGTTTCCATGTGATGCCCACTTGAAAGCAAATTAAGGCAAAATACAGGAAATTGTATGTTTTAGAAACAAAAAGGTTTGTGAATACAGGAATGAAAGTACAGTATAGTGTCTTTCAACTGGTAAGTTGTAACCTAGTAGCCACTTATAAAAAGGAAAGAAAAATACAGTACAAATATCAGAGCCCATCTCACACAGTGATGGTAAATATCATTTCATGAAAATTTTATCTTATAATTTCTACTGAACCTACCATGGCTTTCTCTAAAATAGAAAATGCCTCCTCTGTTCCCAATAGCCATTCTTGTATATTTTGAAATGGCCTTTTTTTTTTTTCAATTACTCCTTTTTCTTTTAAAGTCTTGGGCTATGAGTGCAATTCTCTTAATATTTTTGTGAAGTCTTATTTTTTTACTGCCTGATCAACATAGTCTTTTATCAGTTTGACAACTGAAACTACATATTGGGTTGTTGTTTTTTTCTAATTTTAGAGATTATGATTTCTCATTTCTAAATTTATAACCTACTTGCAAAACTATTTGATAATCTTATTTGTAATGATTTATAAAGTTGGAATTTCAAAATGAGAAGAATACAATAAAAGCTCACTCTTTAAATTCCACTGACAAACTATGTCATCTTCATCTTTCATTAAAATTCAAACCACATAAGATTTGAACATAAACACTAAAAGAGTTCGACTTTCTAGGTTGTCTTTTCCCAGAAAAATAAAATTACCTTACCTAAAAGTTGTTTTCTATCAGCAAAATTTGCTGTGAGGATCTTAGCCATTTTTTTTTTTTTTGGGGGGGGGGTGGGTGCTAAATAATCTTCTAGATTCTATGATAAGAAATATCAGTGCTTAAACCTTCCCCTGTCACCTTTATCTAGTTTTTCCAGATGCACATTTCCCTTTTTAACATCACACATGACAAACTGAACTTGATGAACAAAATCCTTGTTTCCTCCAGCCCCTTATTTTTCATATATTTGGAAAAATAACTAATTTTCAGTTTATTTTTCATTATAACATAATCCATTCTAAAACTCATTTGTTTCAATGGCAATGATGAGATGGCAGGTTTATAGCTTTTTGTTTTCTTTCTTTGTCACCAGGAAACTTTATAGTAGTGCTGTTCTTAAGTAACCAAGGGAGTTGTTGAGGTGTTTGTAACACATTTGAGTATTTAGAGCACTCAGATTCATTCTGGTGTTTCTCTGGTCTTTCTGGCTGTCCTTCTAAACTGACCTCATAGCTAGGTAAGCTAGGCCAATTCACTTGGGCTCCAGTAACACCTCTCAGAACATCACTGCCCTTAACTCCCAGCACTTAGTGTGACTTTTTATCCTACTTACCCTTATTTGAATCATAATTTGTTAGACCACCTGCTGTATTTGCATGACAGTTTTGTTTCCTTTAAAGGAATGTCTACCTGCTCTTTTACTTCAAGCCACTTACATCTAGGGATCAGGCTGTGTTTGCCATTGTAAATGTAGTTGGCACGGTGCTGGAAGAGTGGCAAAAGGGGCTTCTGAATCACACCACAGCAGCATCTCACTATGTGGAAAGCCACCCCTACTACTGTCCTAATGTTGACATGACCAAGAAACAGAACTACCAGTGAGATCATCTCTTGGCTTTACCATGACACTCTCAGAACCAGTTGATTTGTTTATACCACAGAGAACTCTTTGCCTACAGAAAAACATGCAGTTTCAAAAATCAGACTTAAAATGCTTTTTCTCTCTTTGCCATTATTCTGACAGGGCATCCTATGCACTTTTCTGAGAACTCATTACTGTGCTTCCTCTGAGATATCCCAACAGAGAACTAGTCACACAACTATGACCGCTCATAGTATTTAGAGGGCCACTGTCATATGCTGGAGTTGATAAGTAAAATCTGGGAAACAGGGACAAATACAAATAGAGAAGTGGAAACTGGGCTGGAAAGAAGGGTGATATACTCTGTCTCCTCTCCTTCCTACCTCATAACTTCAGGAAACCCTCATGTAGCCACTTCAGTTCTCTCTCTCTCTCTCTCTCTCTCTCTCTCTCTCTCTCTCTCTCTCTCTAGATATTTTATGATATGTTAAGCAGAGTATGATTTAGCCTTACAAATTTATGTTTACAGAATAATTAAAACGACTCTAAATGTTAAGTACCATTTTAATTTCCCTCCTTTAGATGGGTTAAGATTTATAGAGGTTATGTAATGTTAGGAAAATCACAAGCTTATTCTTCATGAGACTTTACTCTCACTTCATATCATTGTTATAGACTTAAGTCCTAAGTTAGCAGTGAGAAAAGCAAAATCTTGACACCAAAAAGACTATTAACTATTGTCTGAAAAATTATTGTTGTTTAAATGGCAAAAAATTATACCAGGTTGGTAGTATCACTCTGAATTCTATCCACCTCCCTTCCTGGGTTATATCCATTAGTTAAATGCTCTGCTTTTGCTTCAACAATTCCTTTTTACTACTTTTGCCCAATTTGTTTTAAAGTTGCTCTTCTCCTTATCTAAAAACATAATAAACACAACACTGTAGACACCTCCCTGTGGTCTTTCTCCTCCCCTTACAAGATTCATGAAAGAACAGGACATTCTGTGATTCCTCCTGCCTCCTTTAACTACTCAGCCTTTGCAATCCGGCTCTGATGGTACTCTGCAACTAACAAGGTCACACCAAGAGTCTCCTTGGTAATTCTAACTTTTTCCAGTCCTTAATAGACTTCTCTGCTTTAGTAGACAACTATAACTATTCCTTCCTTCCTAAAACAATTTCTTCAGCATCTATTATTACTTTAATCCTTCAGTTCTATGATTCTTCCTTTCTTATTCTAATTTCATATTTTCCTCTTCCTCTACCCATTCCTTAAATTTCTATTTTCCCAGTGTTTTATCCTTAGTCTTCAACTCTGTGACACCTTTTCCTGAGTGTTCTCATCTGTGCACATTTTATCTCCAAATCTCTACCTCCAGCCCAGATCTTTCCCTTTAGCACCAGGTTTTCTTGTCTCACAAGAAATTTAAGATAATCATAATCAAATCATCTCTCTAAACCTTCCTCTTGTTTTTCCTAATTTTATGAATTTTGCCATTATTCACCTGTGATCCAAAAAGTAAAAACATAGTGTTACTTAATTTCCCCTTTTCTTTTTTCATACCTATCCAACCAAATCCCAAACCCTATCAACTTTAATTTCTCAACATTTCTGTCTCCCACCCATCCTCTTCAACATTCTCAGTACCTGACCCTAGGTCACCTTTCACCTGGAGTACAACCTCCCCTTTAGTCTCCTTCTCCACTCTGTCACCAGTGCCTCATCCTCAATCCCATCTTATATTGAGATCAAAATAACCTTTTTAAAGAAAAAAAAATGGCTAGATGTTCCTCCAGTAGCTCTCCATCACTTCCAAACTGAAATCCATTGTTTGTCTTGGGGTTTTTTTGTTTGTTGGGTTTTTTTTTCTTTTTTACATTCTAGATCTAGGATCTGGTTTCCTCCCATCACTGTGTCTTATGCCCCTGGTGTTCTCCTGAACTATAGGCAGTTTTCCAAACACCTTAAACTTGCTGTTAACTCAACAACGTTGCATAAAACGATGCAGCCTAATTTCCCTAGCTTTCACTGGGCTTCAGGATTTACTCTAGACACCACCTCCTCCAGGGATTCCCTAGCACTCAAAAATTCCTTGGTATCACATCACATGGTGTGTCACTCACCAATCAGCACTTACTAAATGCTTGCTTGCTTTTCCCTGCTCTGGTGCTGGGGATGGGGCCAGGGCCTTGCCCATGCTGGCAAGCATTCTACCACTGAGTTGCATCATTGGCCTTATTTTATTCTGAGAAGGGACTCACTAATTTACCCAGGCTGGCCTTGAATTTGCAACCACTCTTTCTCAGCCTCCAGAGTCACTGGGATTACAAGAGGGCGCCAACACCACACCCAACTCAGCACTTAAATTCAATTCTCATTTCTTTGTCTATTTTCCCAGCAGATTGTAAAATATTTAAGAGGGGTGAGAATGTTAAATAAAGTTATAAATAAAGTTAAATAAATGTGAAGCTTGGCAAATAAAAATGACAATTGACATAGCATTCTGTCAAGAATCATTTCCTCAAATAAGATTTCAAAGTTTTGTACATTTCTTATCTGTTCTAGTCGTCTATAAATACAGTGTTTCATAAATTATATATTTTCTGTCTTATCAGATTGATGCTGAAATGAAAGATATACTGGAGGCCGACGCGTTCATCTTATCTTAGGTGAGTACATTTTTTTAAAAAAATAGAACAGTAAAGAATCCAACATTAAACATATACTTTAAAAACCACAGTTTTGGAAGACTTTATCATTTAGATTATTCTATTTATTATCTACTCAAATTCATTTTACAATTGGGAATATGAAGCATCTAAAAAAATATTAAAGTGCTTACACAAGTACACACAGCCAATTTCTGACACAGTTAAAACCAACTCCAGATCTATTGACCCCAGCCTGGTGCTACATCCATCATAATGTCACATCTAAGATAATAACACCATAAAGATCATGTAAAGGAGTTTGATGCACTTCAATAGGAAAAACAGTTTAAAGACAGGGCTCATCAAGTCTTAAAAATAACACAGCAGGGTTCTTAGGAGAAAAAGGCATTTTTTACTCAAATTAAAGCAACACTGTTGAAATATTATCACTTGCTTCTTTCAGATATTATGCTTTCACTCCTTTAAAAATGTCTGATGGAGATATTAAGAACACAAAATAGTTTATTTTGACTTAATGCCACACCTTAAACTGAAGGTAACCTTAATTCTGCACATTTTAAAATACATATATTCTCTCCAGATCCAACTATATATTTTAAAGATATTACATCTGAGATTTTAAAATCATGCAAATAATATTTTGGGTTTATCTCAGATCTAAGTTGAACTGAGGGTTTCCAATGCTGTCAAATTTTTATTTTGCTATCTTGTTCACAATGTTGCCCCAACTGATGTGAAAACAAAAGTATCCCAATCCAGTGACTAGAGAAAACGGATCACTTCACCGTATTATGACTTTCAACTATCAGGAATTTGAATTAGGAGCTGGAGTTGTAACTCAATGGTAGAGTGCTTGCCTAGTATGTGTGAGGCACTGAGTTCCATCCTCAGTACTGCATAAAAATCAATAAATTAAATAAAGGTATTTTGTTCATCTACCATTAAAAATGAAAATTTAAAAAAAAATTTAAAAGAATTTTAATTATCTGAAGCAGTAAATAAAATACTCTAAGAAGTAGTACAGTGTCAGGCATATATTTCTTTTTCAATGAATACCTGGACCCACTCCTTTCAAGTTAGAGATTTAAACAGCTCTTATAAGTCAATTCCTTTTGTCTCTCAAGGTATTATGATCCCTAGGTACACCTCAAATTCATACCTTATGATCAACCATTTAATGCTATTTCACTTTTAACTAAAGTGTTATTATAAACTAGTCCCCCTGATCAATTACTTTCTTCAATCCCTCAAACTGAATTGCGGTCATATTTGCATGCCCCATGGGATAGAGAGTAACTGTGTCAGTCTCACAAAGGCAAAGCAAGCGTATGTTTTGCCCTTTTGCTTTGGAAGTAACTAGTGTTTTAGGGTTCCCCAGGTTGCCAAAAAAGAAATGATTTTCCTTACACCATACAATTAATCTGGGTAAAAAATATTTTAGAACCACACCCAGCACATATATCTCATTCTATGAGAGAAACATAAGAACTTGTACTAAATGAGGGAAGTACATATTTATATCTCACATTTCATCTTCATTCCAAGGCACAAATTCATTGAAGACAATAAAAGATGAGATTTCTTGTACTGTACAAATAGAATTCTATTAGATTGTCTTAAAGAGAAAAATTAAGAGGGCGATATATTTGTTACAATACAAAGAAGAAGGTAATCATATTTTTTAAAAAAACTCATACTATAAGTGTTTTACTAAAATAAAAACTACAGATCTATTATCTCAATTCCATAATCAGAACCTGTATTGATTAGCTTACTGTCACTGTAACAAAATACCTAAAATAACTAACTTATAAAGAAAAAAAGGTTTATTTCAGCTTACAGTAATAGAGGTTCTAGTCCATGACCAGACAGACCCATTGTTCCAGGCCTTGGGCTAGGGTGCTAGATGGCAGTGGCCAAGAGCATGCTGCAGAACATACTGATCATTTCATGACCAGAAAGCAAAGAGGAAGAGGCCAGGGTCCTGCAATTCCCTTGATGGGTACACTCCCCAATGACTGCTCACTAGGCACCCCCTCTTAAGTTTCCATCACCTCCCAAGAGCACCACCCTTGGAACCAAGCCTTGAACACCCAGGTCTTTTTGGGACATTCATCATCCAAACTATAGCAAACAGCCTCACTGCTACCAGTTTACTTTTTTGCTCTGGCAATGATCATTCATTCTCAGAGCAGAAAGTCAAATCCATCATTAGTTTATAGAAAAAGAAAAAAAAAAAAAACACTGTGCAACAAGTTTTGTAGCTTGGCATAATAACAGTGATGCGTTTTTCTCTTTGGTACTGGGAATTTCTGACTTTTCTTTTATCTGGACCCATGAGGTGGGCCATATTGGATATATGGATCATGCTGGACAGGATTATTTTTGTCCTAACCACAAAAATAATATGACCCTACATGCATCTGATTAGCAGTTTTAAGGATAATGCCCATTAGCGGTTTTCCTAACATGTGTTCATTTCCATTGTTCACATAGACCTACCACAGGAACCACCCTGAAGGATGACCTCAGATGGCCAAACCTAAGCAAACCACCAGGCTCCTAGGGGGAACACGAGGATACTCCTTTAACCTGCCACAGTGTCTTCATACAAATGATAAACATGATGATTTGCTATCAGAATAAATCGAAATATAATGCAAACCAAAAATGCAACTGAGAATGAACTGTTGTGCAATGAACAGAACTGTTCCTGTGTCTTTCACAATGATGCTGTGGCAGGCAGCCTCAACCTCATGAGCCCTCACTTTTTACTAGATCTCTGCTGTTTCTCTCTAAAAGACTCACGATATAAATCATCCACTTTACAATTCCCAACACACTGAACTCCACTCCCTGATTGCTTCTTGGGCTTAGTAGGTGCCATTAAAGCCAACTTTCTACTGAAAACAGCTTTGGGATATTTCACTTCTTAAAAACAAAACATCTCCTGAGACCACCTTCTTGCTCACAGCTGTGTGGCATTAATCACGTAGTTCTGCCTTGCGAAAAGAAAAATCTTTGTGGTCTGAATAAGATTTTGTTTTTGTTTTCTGTCTTTGCTAAAAACTCCTGAGGGCAATTTACGGAAACAAAGTTTCAGAACATGACAATTTTTCAGCTTAATTTACTTTACATATGAAAATACATGCGATTTTTCTATATGCCTTTTTTTGCCCATGGAAAATGAAGGTACTTTATTCTATATTTCTGTTTTGAAAGAACAAGGAAAACCTTTTCTATGTAGAGTAAATAGTATCAGGGAATTTGAATTCACCTGTTGGCAGAAGGAAGGTCATATAGTAATGGTCATACATATTTTATGGTGAATATACTCAGAGTCAATTTAACCAGAATCATCACTTGTCACTTCCAAGAGACAAAGTCCCAGCAAGGAGCATTTCATTAACAGAGCCAAGGTCAAGGGCCCAAGGCAATTAGTGTTGGGGACAGGCCCCAAATGGTTGTAGTTAGGCTCCCTCGTATAGGCTTCCAGGGAGCTAGGTTATGCATTTAGTGTGTGTTAAAGCTATGAATCCACTATGTTATGGTCAGTGTGTAGTGAAGATCAGAAATTTTGATTCAGGATATATACTCCAGGTCATCGACACTAACTTGTGAGTACCCATCCTTATGTAAACTGTTGGCAATGTGCCTTCTTTGTTTGGCCTGCATATAGAACAGGGCCTGTGGAAAAGACTCAGGGATAAATGGGGGCAAATAAGGGGCAAAAAATTGGAACTGGCTGGGGGCTAAAGTGGAAGCTAGAGAGTGGAGACTACTACTTCCTCTGAATAAGATATGTCGACTATCCCAACTGCTATTTTCATCTTCTTCCACCTGTTGAACCCTGAACTTTGTTTCATGGGTCTGAGACCCTACATGACAAATGGCTAGGAAATAAAAAACCTGCTCATTTGCAGCTTCTACAGTAAAAGGCGCAGCTCTGCCTCCCACAATGATCCCAAACTGGGAAATTAACCTCAACTAGAGAAATTCTGCAGATGCCATGGAGTTCAAAAGCAACAAACTGTCCACACATAATGAGGCAGCCCTTTTGATATTTTTTAAAATTATCTTTTACTGAAAAAATTACATCACTGAAGCTTCTAGCAATTCTGAGGATTAGATACCATTGATAAAATATGAGAAGACAGACTCCAAAAAGGTGAAATCATACCAAAGTTACCAAAGAACAAAACCTTTCAATTCCAGCAATTCGTAGAAGGTTAGTAGGCATAACTGAAGAAAGAGTTCTTTAATTGAATAATTTTGGAAACATAACATTGTATATCACTCATTCGGAGAGTCCCAATTTACTTTATACAAATTCAGTGTTTTGAAATTTATTTAACCACTAACCTCCCTTGTGTTAGTACTTTCCAAAATCATTCCCTTTTGAAATCAATTTTGGAAAATTCTGCTCTGTTCTTACCTGAGAAATCACAATAACAAATCATTCATCAATGTTTTAGTTTTCACTCCTGTGACTAAAGACCCAATAAGAACAATTTTAGAGGAGGAAAAGTTTATTTAGGGGCTCAGGGTTTCAGAGGTCTCAGTCCATAGACAGTCGGTCTAGTACTTCGGGGCTTGAGATAAGGCAGAACACCATGGCTGAGGAGTGGGGAAGCAGCTCGCATGATGATCAGGAAACAGAGAGAGAGAGAAAGAGAGAGACTCCACTTTCCAGATAGAAAATATATACCCCAAAGACACACCCCCAGTGAACCACCTCCTCCAGTCACACTCTTCCTGCCCACAGTTACCACTCAGTTAATTGCTATCAAGGGATTAATTCATTGATTGGTTGAGGCTCTCATAATCAAATCATTTCTCCTCTAAACTTTATTGCCTTGTCTCACACATGAGTTTTGGGGGGACAACCTTGTAGCTAAATCATAATGATCAACTACTACAAACTGGTCCATCTTTGTCAATTATTTTTATTCTTGATCAGGCAGAATTGGCTGGTACTGTTACTAAGTAGCCAATGAATTTTACATGATTGACCAAAGTAGCATCACCCAAGAACCATCAACTTTAATTGGTATTCATAGTATTATTATCTCACCTGGAAATTCTTGAGAAACAAAGCTCCCTTTGTGGAGATTTTGATTTAAAAATATAACAAGGGAAAAGCCACTCTATTGTGTCACTTACTTTAACAGCAATAAGCCCTAGTACAGAAAGAATTTGATCAGTTTGACTATTCACCCAATTTCAGTGAAAGATGAATAACTAAAAATAAATAAGAAGTCTTAGAAGGCTGCCTTCCATATCTCTGGTCTCTTTTTTGTGCACTGTCTTCACTACTGAGCCTTCTCCCCTAACCAACCTATGGGCCAGTGATTCACAATCTTGCTACACATTAGAATCATATGGAAAATACTGAGGGGGAAAAAAATATCAGTGCCCCAGCATCCTTTCAGAGTTTCGATTTAATCAGTCTTGAATAAAATCTGCTGTTTAACCAAGCTTGAAAAATCACTGCTTCAGGAACTACATGCCTTCACCCAAATTTCTAACACTGCATTATCTTAATCCAGCATTGTATTTTGAGTTTTTTGTCCTTACTTATAGAATGAAACTTTGATCTTTCACCAGTCCATTTCATCTTTGTCCATTTTTTTCCAGGATCTGAAATATTTTTTCCCCACCAGGCCAAGAAAGCACCTAATAGTTCATTCCACCAGAATCACCACCAAGAGCCTCCTGGTGTCATACTTAGGTTTTGGGGCAAGTTTTAGGTTGCAATTAGTGACTCATAGATCAGTGGCTGGGCATTCCTATATTGCTTCTACCTCAGTAAGACAGTGTCTATGAATCTAGTGTTTGCAGTCTTCAGTGTCAGATGTATCTCCGTATCTGTTGTGTGCTGCACTTGAAGTCTGTGTATGCCTGATTCAAATGAGAACCTTTGCCGCCACCTTGTGGATGACATAGCTAAATGCAAAAAGATTCTGAAATCAGATCTTAATAAAACTGCAAATACAAAATCGTCTGGAATAGGCTTTGTGCTAAGCCCCATTTAGAACATGAAAAGCCACTAGTAAGACATGTAATTTTCAATTTTTATTCCCAGAAATTAATTTTAATAATTGTGTAAAATTGGCGACTTTGTACACAGAGACCTGAGAATGTTTTAAAATTTGAGGGGGAAAAAGATCCATTTTCTCTCTTAAAAGCACTGGTAATGGAGTATGAATACCTTCTCTATATTAAACTCCTATCACATTTAAGATAAGAAAAAAATGTAAAACATAGTAGTACCTTTTTTTTATAGACTTTATTACTTTTCAAAGGTCTTTCTGGCCTATGATCTTATCAAATCTTCATCTCAATTGCAGGAAGCAGATTATCCTGGTACTATTACATCTAATTTTCAGATAAAGTAGGTTCAGTGGGATAAACTCACTAAACAGTGTGACACACTGACAAACAACAAAGACCAATGTGACAATAGAGAGCACTTAGTACTTTCCCTAGGTGAGGTATAGCACTTAGTACATTGCAACTATGACATTGTTCTATTGCTTAGCAACATACCACTCTGAAAGAGCAACTCAAGGCAATAATAATCATAAAATGTGCTTAGAAATCTGGGTTTGATGTCCAGTGTTTCTCATGTAGTGGCAGGGGCTAGGTCAATCTTGAAAGCTTTTCTATTACCATATGTGGCACTTGGGCTGCAAAGAATGATACAGTGAGGGTCTGGAATAAGTGGGCTACTTGAGCAACTCTCTCTTTGGGTGGTCTTTCCATATAACAGCCTCCCAGCCACCAGGCTCTTCACATGGTGGCTGAAGGCTCCCAGAGTTTCTCTTTCTAATTGACACCCAGAAGTGAGGTTGCATACTTCCTGCTACATTGTATCAATCAAAAAGTCCAAAGGCTCATCTATGCTAAGGGAAGGAGAAATAGAGGGTAATTTTAGATGAATGAAGTAACAAAGAATTTGTAGATATTTCAAAATCACCATATATACATTATCTCCATTAACATTCATGAGGTAGGTACTCCTAGCATCCCCATTTATAGATGAGAATGCTGAGGCATGATGTGGCTAACTAATGTCCCCAAGGTAAACAGATAACAAGAGTAGCAATAGAATGTGATTCCAGAGAGCTGGACTCCAGACTCTAGTATACTCTTAACCTCTGTACATACTCTTGTGACACTGAAACTGGAAGCTGGATACACATTGACAATTGTGAAGGGTATTTTGCTTTCAATTACAATTATCAGTAAAAGAGAAAAATGAAAATAAAAAATATATATTTATATTTCCCTTTATCCCCATTGCACAAGAAAGTGAGGGCTAGTAAAACTGTGTTTTGCAGAATGCATATGTTTTAAATAAACATTTATGAAATATCCAGTTAGCACGGTCCCTTTATTAAAGGAACTTCCACTCTACTAGAGAAGACTAATACACTAGGAAGTGAATGACACAAGCAAAGAGAAGAGAATCACTAAAGATGAACTGAGAAGGACACTGGCCAATGGCGTTTCCAGATATGAATATTGGTGCAGGCTCTTTGGGGTGAAATGATGTTCTCTGCTATTCGGTCAGTTCCAGTGCAGTCACCTTGTAAGGCTTCTTTTCTGTGCGAGGATCATATCATCTGTCATTTCTCCTCCTGCCTCTCAACAGCCAAGTCAGTTCTCTTGAAACGCCATCTAGGAGTTGAAGCTGAGAAGAACATTGAGCATAGCACACCATTCATTGGTCTCTCATTGAAAAGTCACTAAAAGTTGGCTTTATGCTTTTTGTTTACTTTAGTGATGGGTTGGAGTGACTCATTATACAATTAAAATAAATCATGCTGCCACCATCTACACAGTCAGGCTTTGTAAAACCTACCTGAGCAAATAGGAAGGAGGGAGGTATCTTCCAAGAATTTTAGCAACCAGCTCCTTTTTGTGCTTTGAGAAATCCTCCTTTGACTCAGACTCTCGTCAAGACCTTCAATGTTCTGATAACAACAATGATGATATTTCAATTCTTTATAACACATTTATGTTATTACTACATTCCATGTTTATTCAGTCCCAAAATTGCATGAACAACCTAAAGTGATTTAAATTTATTAATCTCTTTCCAGAAATATTTGATTTTTTTACAAAAACATATTGGCTGAAAGTAAAAGGCAAAGGACTCAATATGTTACAAGTTTTAGAAACACATGGAGAGGAGAAAATAATTTAGGACAGTAGACTCTCCAGGAGGCCACATCATAGCTCAAATGAACTGAGAAGAACTGGATGTGTCCACTATTTGTGAAGCCAACCAACCCTATAGTGATCTTACCCTTCTTACAATGCCTCTAGGCTTAAATAAAATTATCTCAACTATTTTCCAATGCAGTGACCTTGGCAATGTAAAACATAGACCCCCAAATCAACAAAATATGTAAATAAATGAGATCATAGATAAATTTCTTAAAAGCCAATTTGGTTGGGAAAGGACTAGGACCATTTACCAGGGTGACATTCAAAACATTTAATAATCAGTATGTCGTATGTCCTGACTAATCAGAGTAGACACTGGCCAATAGGAAAACATGATTGAAAGGAACCACTGATAACTGATTCAGCTATAAGGGGAGGGGGCACATTCAAATATTTTCTGCCATTAGGAAATGGAATAACTGAGCTAGTTGAGGAAAGCTGTGGAGAAGAAGGGGTACAAAAACACAAAGCAAGAGAGTTAAAGATACATTTGATTCACTTAGAAATTTCTTAGGTTGTTTAAGAGATAGGAGAATGAGAAGCACTCTGAAGACAGGGAAATAATTTAAATAGAAGTCTAAGTCAAATGAAAACATCCTAAACAGAAACAAAGTCACCAAATGTTTTTAAATAATTACTTTCTATATCAGCAATCTGGGCGGGGGAGTTCATAAAATAAGCTAAAATATTATAAAGTTAATCAAATGAAAATTTTAAAAACTAGTATAAAATCAGAACAAGGGTAAATAAACTTAACACAGAGCGGGGGGGGGGGGGGACAATTTTAATCCGCAACCAGTTTTTCTTATTCAGTTTAATTTATATATGATTCATTGTCATTTGTAAGTGCCCAATGATGATATTTAAAGCTAATCAAAAATTACACTTAGTTGTTACTCTAATTTCTAATGGATTGTTTCCGTGTAACATGCAGAGAATTGCATTGTAAAGAATCATCAGTTATTGACTCAAAAGACTGAAATCAAGCCCAAACAATAAAGAAAGCAGTAGTTAATTTCAATTCAAATAAAATCATTATTCTCATCAATTGGCTAAATTATATCCAGTCAATTTTTTAATTAGCATGGCTGTATTTCAAAATGTTATTGCTCTAAGCATTTCCATGAATACATAGCATAAACACTGAGAAAAAGTCAAACATTTTTAAACAGGAATTCTCACCACAATTTAAGTTAGAACACTATTTGTGTTCTAACTCTTTCTCCTATCTCTTAAATATTCCAGCACACAGCCAAGGTGTGCTGCGATTTAAATACTTCAATAAAAAGACGTAAAGGTTCTTTCAGGAGCATCTATCTGTGAGATTCGTCACTCTACATCTCTGCTGAAATTTAGAAGCAGCTTAGGAGATGCCTGACAAAGGCCAGGACGTCATCCCAGACACTCAGTCTCTTAAGGCAACCCAACACAATAGTGGGGACATCTACCCAGTGTATAACCAGTGACAGGAGTCCACAGGAGTCACTGTCATTCAGGTACCTCATGAGAACCTGAGGCACAAAAAGATGATGCACGACTGTACACTGTCTTCCCAACCTAAGCACACCTATGAGATTTGGACATTTCCTGCTATGTAACATGAAACATAGTACTGTCGGCTCCTCCCAAGCAAAAATTAATCTATGCAAATGCCCGCCCTGGACATAATCTTAACCAATTAAGAATAAAGTTTATATTTTGCCCTCAATCTCTACCCAACTCTTAATTTAAAAAAAACTCATTTTGACCCTTGAACAAAATGTTAAGAAAATTACTGAATTGGATCCTTTGGCCCATGCAAAATAATAATTAAATAAATGTCATTTATTTTGACCTCTGGTCACAACTCTTAAACATGTATATAACTCTACTAAGTGAAGTTTTGCTGAAACGTGGTTTGTCTTCTTGAGGCACCATCCATACTTCCCAGCCTCTATTTCAAGTGGCCCCATTTTAATTAAATACCTGGGTTGAGAAATAGGAAGTTTGTAATTAATATCTGCATTGTGCAGGTAGAACAGAAAAGAGATTTTTCAGGGAGAGATCTCTTCTCATAACCCACAGTTCATTTTACTCCCAGATTAGAAAATTCACCTCTGTACTATGTTAAGCAGCAAAATATGATCTTTTAGAAATTAAAAGGAAGGAATTATATTTATTTCTCCAGTGCTTAAAAGAAATATTAACACTTGATCAGTACCTCCCTGGGACTCAGCCACACAGAGCCCCAGCTGTGGGTACCTCACTTTAGGGAATCCTATTCTAGTCTTCTTTCATGGCCTTTCCTCTAGGACCCTCCCCAGGAGTTCATGCAACCATAGGGTCAATGTTTCCCTTAAAAGTCCACTTTCCTCATTTCACTCTAGTACTCAGAATTCCATGCAAACTGCCAGTTCTGGCACAGACCTCCTCTCTAGGAAGACCACAGCTAGTAAGAAATGCTCTAGGTACAAGGGGAGGTAGTTGTTTGGAGGATGTGGACAGGATGTAGACATGTGGGTCAAGGTCTACACATGTGCATGTATGAGATTCTCATGAAGCTGGGCAGAGATGGGTCTGGGGAGAAATAGGGACATGCTATGAACTGTATGCCGACTCTGCACATTCTGTTACAGAGCTCAGAGGAATCAAAGATGTTAAATTTAAACCTAGATTTCCAGGTTGTTTTGAAGGTATATTTGCCAAGGCAGGAGGAAATAATGTACTTTATTTAATAGCTTATCAGCTTTAAATATTTAGACATGTGCTAGGTGGACCTCCACATATACTCTTACGCCAGGGCCTGCAGAATCAGGGCCAGGTCTATAGTATAGAGATACCAAAAATGATGAATCAAGTAGGTGACATCCCTTTATCTGCCCTACACAAAAGCAATATATAGCCTTATCCAAACAGGTTTAACAACAAGAAGTTTTATCCAGGCTTTTTAGGATGTTGACTTAAGCTGCTGGCTCTCTCCTCCAAAATCAAGCCTGAAAAAGTTAAGAATGTGAAGGGTAGACTAACAGTGATTTGCGTGACTAGCAGCCATAATAACAACTGTGAGAACCCTGGAGTGTTCTAGACACTGGAGAATCCCTTTAAGGCTGTCTTGAATCTGCAAACCTTGGAAGGGAGGGAGGCTGAATTATAAGAGATTCATCCTGGAGTATAAAAAGCTGGAAGAAATCTAAATTTGTGCTTGTATTTACAGACCTTTAAAACTCTAATAAAATCATAAAAGATGGTCTGAATAAGTGAAGATAGACCATGCTTTTGGAGTAAATGACTTACTATTATAAAAATTCCAGTTCTCTCCAAATGTATCTATAAATTAGACATAAGCCCTATTAAAATTTCAGATGAATTTTTCTGAATTACTCAAAATTCTTGTTTGAAAACGTATGTGGAAATAAAAAATCTACAACAAAGTCAGCCTAAAAAGCAACAATGTGTAAGAATGTGCATAACTAGATATTAACACATAAAACAGTCATATACATATTATAACAGTATACAGATAAATAAGACAGAATACAAAACCATGAATATAAAAGAACTTAAAATGTTATAGTGATGCTATTAAAAATCAACCCAAAAAGATTGCATTATTTTATAGGTAGTATAAATTATAACTCTATCAAAAAACACATGTAGGACCAGGAATATAGCTCAGTGGTAGAGCACTTGCCCAGCATGCATGAATCCTTTAGTTCAATCCCCAGTACCATGCACACTCACACAAGAAGAAGTATAAGAAAAGCAAAAAGAAGAAACTTTTAAAAGCACGTGTAAAGATAGACTACAAGTGAACTAAACACTCAAAAGTAAAAGATACATTACTAGAGTTAACAGGAAAAAAATGAAGGTAAATAAATTTGTAACATGGGAGCAAGGACAACCTATTTTAAAAATACAAAAAAGACAAATCATAAGACTTGATGAATTTTATTATATTAAGGTTAAGGAATTATGTCCAACAAAGGACATCATGGATAAAGTTCATAGAAAAAATGCAGGTAAGAATAATACATTTATAATTTTAGAACTGAAAAGGTATTAAAATTTGAAAACCATAACCGAATTTACAAAAAAAAAAGAAAGAAAAATGCATCAACTAAGTGAATAGGTGAGACATAGGAGATTATTAAGGTGGTGAAATTATTCTGTATGACACTAAAATGGTGAACAAGTGATATAATACATTTTTAAAAATCCATAGAACTTTATATCACAAAAAGTAAGCTTTAATCTATGCAATTTTATAAACATCATTTAAGAGTTTGATATTCCCAGGAAAGAATGCAGACTATGACAACAGAATCTAACTGTATTGCAAGTGTTACTGAAAAGGTTGTGGGGAAATGTGTTGTTAACATAACTTAAGAAATAAAGAGAGTCTATAAGACAAAAAGAACTTCATTAAAGCATTTTACTCCCATTGACAAAATTCTTTTATTTTTTATATTATGAATATATATATGTATGTATATGTGTGTGTGTTAACAATTATGATACTGCTATGCATGTATGCTGGAAGTGAACAATTTAGTAAGTGGATGGAGAAGACAAAAGTTCTCACTATTGGAGTGGAAGTTTAAAAATAATCAAGGGGAAGAAGCTCACATGGTAGTTTCCATGTGATATTGGTAAAGGCAGACTCAAACCAAAACTAGATATCCATCCCCAGAATAGCATACAGTTAGAATGTGACAGGCACCTACCATGTAATATCACACAGAAGATAAAAACGTCAGAAGATGTATCAATAAAAATATAAATGGAGCTTAAGATAATGTTAACAAAAATGCATATTTTTACACAATACTATTCACATGAATTCAAAATGCATACATGCAAAACAATATTTCCTGTTTAAGAAGAATGTACAATGAAAGTATACATAGTATGCACATAAAGAGAAAATGGAGAATGAAGAGGAAATAAGTTAAACAAG